TTGTTGCACCCCTGATATATATATACATTCCTGTATGTATAATATAGCTGCAGAAAAAAAGGTTTAACAGAAGATTACTCACCGTATGCTTGGCAGACAACATGAACCAGAGGATATGACTTTCGCAGGACGCGATCACACCAGGATGGCAAATTGTATTTTGTCTGTAGAGTTAAAATCATCTTAATATTAATATCAATATAAAATACTTGAATTTTTTAAATTGAAGACTGTAAAACAATTCAAGTATAACTCTACATAAATAGCCCAACATATAAGAAGCATGATGGGCAGTCATTTGTGGAAGAAACATGAGCAAATAGTCCTGAAATCCCCCCTGAAACCTCATTAAAATGAAATAGGCTGTAAATACACTAAAAGTATGTAGTTAAAATTAAGGGCACATTAAAACAAATAAAATTTAATTTTATGCATAATAAGAAATTAATAACATTCGAACATGATGAAGTGAATAAAATAATTTAGGATTAAATTTTAAAAAATTACAGCAATGAAGCAGATAAAATTAAAAGTCTCAGTGAAGTGACCGTGATGCATAGGGAACAGAGATGTGATAAAACATGAGCTTACCCCTGTCGCTTTGGCCTTTGTGTAGGCGTACCTCTCTCGTGTGTCTCTTTCAAATCGATACGTGGGCGCGAATGTGATTTCTTCTTCAGCTACAATCAAAATAGAATAAAACCCGTATGTATGCAAACACAATTATAAGAAAAAGGACAGTGTTTTGCAGAAAATCCCAAGCATGGCAACAACAGTGAAGACACTTCTTTCTGCCGTATGCCTACATGTACTGATCAGTATTCATCAAAGCTCACCAAAATGCAAGAAGACCTTGCTCTCTTTCCTCTCCATGCTGAGCTGGTCTTTGGTGAGCAGTTCCTGGTACTGCTGCTGTTTGATCTTTGACACAATGTTTTCAGCTTCCTGTGAAGGGAACAGGGGAAAGTAGTGACTGGAAGTGTTAGCAGCTGAGAGCTCAGACACCTGACAACCAGCAGGGTTTAAAAAAAAACAAAAACACAACCATGCTTCTGAGAGAAAAACCACAACAAAGCAAAGTCCGTGAATCTGTATGTAAAGTAGAGATAAAACAAGGTTTATGACTTACAGAAGATGCCATTTCAACGCGGTAGTTCAGATCTCCAAGCCAGAAGAGGTGCGTGAAGCGATTTGTGATGTCAAACGGATTAAGCTTCTTGTCTCCTAGATTCAGAAATCTCAGGATGCTGGCATAGTTTTGATTCCGTCTGCAAATACAGCAAAAAATATTGGAGTAACATCAAAAATGTGAGGAATCAGTGGAGGAAGCAATAAAGTTTTCTGTTTCTACTGCCATTTAGCAAAATGTTGACTTTTAAAGCAAGGCTTCAGAAAGAGGAGGATACATATTCATCATTTATTTTGTCCAAGTTAAATATAGGTAAATAAATAAATAAAAAAACATGAAGAAAATAAATAATTTTTAAAAATCCGACATGAAAAATGACAGAGATGGTTGCCATCGTGGCCGTGTGACTAGTATAAGGGGATGATGATGACAGAAAAAAGATGGAAAATAAATAATTTTTTTAAAGTATAAAGTATAAAGATGGATGTAGCTTGCTGGGTTGAAAAGAGAAGCTAACATAGAATTGTCTTAAACGTGGATGTTTTTCTAAAAACCAGCAGGGGGCGACTTCTGTGGTTGCAAAGAAAGACTTGTGATTGTGTTTAAGACAGCCGCCCACGACTCCCACTGTAACCTCAGTGAACACGCGCCTGAAGACTTCACAGGCTCAGTCTCTAGTTTCAGATAATATTGAATAAAACATCTGTTTTATTTTTTAAATTAGTCAGAAAGGATGTTCATCCAGGGTAACAGCTAGTCAAATACACAGATAATATGAAGGATGGACATGGGTACTGTGATGTCACTCGCTGGTTTGTAAAGTTCCATTTTGAAACCTTGAGATGAGCGTTTTCACCAACGCTATCTTGGCTGCAAAAAACCCAGAGTGATGAAGGGCACGGTACTGACTTTGAAACCGTGCACTTGGTTAGTGACTTATAAGCCATTAGGCATTATTTAGTGGTTGCCTTTAAACATTTTGCACATGTGTGTTTCACAACTTTCACTGAATCGCCCTGCAGACGATTATTTATTGGTGCTTTGCTTCAGCTGAGTGCTTAGAACTACTAGTGAGTATTTGCCGTTTCCTATTGGTAGGAGTATTTTTAGTTGAAACATTTGTTTTCAGCGCTTTTGGTTTGCTGACATCTTTATTTTGTTGTGTATTTGAAATTCTTTCATAACAAATGGTAAATGGACACCTCGGGCTCTATCTGAGCACTCGAAGCGCTTTGTACAACTTGCCTCATTCACCCATATTCAAGGGCTTTTTTTCCCCATGGTTTTTCTACTTACTCTCCAACATTCACACACACATTCAAACACATTCTCAGGGTTAGTATCTTTCCCAGGGATATTTGGTATACAGACTGGTTCAGGCAGGGATTGAACCACCAGCCTACCAATTAGTAGATGACTTGGAAGGACTTTTCATTTTTACTCCCATCCTCCCCTAGTTCATTTTTGGAAAGTTAGCAATATTTTAGCAGTTCTGGATCCAGATCTGGACGAGACCCCAAATTGTTGGTCTGGGGCAAGAAAAATAACAAATGTTTCCAAAAATGCAGTAGCTAGGGCAGTAATCAAGCATTGCAATCAAATGTTGCAATGTTAATTTCTGATAATCATGCAATTTGTTGTGTTTGATTTGAATAACTGTGGTCTGTCCAAATAAATACACACTGCACACAGTGCACAACATGAAAATGTACTAGAGTGAGTATACCTACCAAGCTGCAGCTCATTTTGTCATGCAGAATGCTTGTTAAGTTGACCATACAAGCACTCAAACATCAAGGTTCTTTTTATAGGTTAAGATAAAGGTCCTACAATATTTAGCAGCTAGTACAATTTAACTGCTAAGCTAATATTTAACAGATAATGTTAACTGTTTTTGCAAAGACGATTAAAAAAGGTGTTTCTGGCTACATTTTGTCAATGTCAGCAGCAGGCTAAAACCAAATTGTGCTGATTGTTAGGCACATTTACATTTCCTGCTTTCCATTTACTGAACTGCGAAGTTTCTGTTAGGAAGTAGTGAATAAGTGAACAGGGGGGTATTTTGCACATGTCACTAGACAATTAGGATTTTTACCTCCCCATCCATCATTGAAATGACACCTTTGTTGATATCTGCATCGGGTTTTCCCTGAAGAGGCTATAAAAATGCTAGCACATTTCAAAGAGATTTGCGACTTCTATCAAAGGAAAGCCGCAAAGAGTTGAGTTTAATTTGTTTAAGCCTAGATACATTTTTTGTTAATAAAATGTCCGGGTATTGCCTTAACTAAAGGCAAACCAATCATGGTTATTTGCATAGTTACCCTCAAAGGTTAATTTTGAGCCCAGAAAAACCCTGTGTTGTATATGTATATGTGTATATGATGTTACTAATCAATTCAACCTTTTTAAAGATACTTTGAAAAGTGTAACCTTCTCCTCACCTGAGCTTCTTCTCACTTCCAGAGGTCAGATGACTGTTGACAAAGCCAAAAGATGTCCCATTGAACATGAAGGACACTCCCACTGCTCCCTTGTTTCCTGCAATTCAAACCAGTAAACACTGATGGGTAATTTTTCTGTGAACTTTTATCAGCAATCATTACAGGCCTCAAGGAGAAGTGGAACTGCTTACCCAAGGTGTTGGCGATCCCTGTCTTCACGCTGTCTGAAAAAACATGAGAGATCCTGTTTTCATGCTCAGGCTTGGCCAGGACCACGATCCGAATATTCCACAGTGTGTGAATTGCCACCTGGATGTTTGGAGATGTTTAGAATAGTTGATTCATTAGTGCTTTGTGTTTGCATTCGGCTACAAATTCAAAACTTTGCCACAGTTACTCACTTGTTTAAAGCTAATGTTTGTGATGTTCCTCAGGACACCTTTCACTGTATCTGCCCATTCTCGCTCACCCAAAGGATCCTCCTGAGTCCCAATGACATAAAAATCATGTGGAATATGATCTGCTGTGTCATCTTGTGTCTTCCCTTGGCCCTTACACTGAAACCAGGAGTTGATGTTCGGGGGAGGGCCGGCATTTCCTGTAGGTTTGCAGATCCGTTTTTATATTATATACAGTTAAGTTAACTGAAGCACTGAATTCTGTATGACATCACTGTTACCCATGTTCCAGGTGCCAACAAACACTGTGATCATGTCTGGTTCAGGCTTTTCTGAGTGTTTGTTTTTCATTTGCTGAAGCAGCTGACAGAAGCCCTCTCTTTTCTGGATTCACAAGACAACAAAACACATCACATTTAACAAAGTGCACATGACTGAGATCAGAATAGGGAGCATCGCCTTTAAAAAGACGCTTACCTTTGTGTCATCAAACACAAACTCTTTCCGCAGAACTTTTTCTTTCTCCGTCTCCACCACAATGACCAGCTTGGCGTGCATTTTCTGGGATTTCACCAACTGCAGGACTGGTGGATAAGAGTATTCTTATTAAGTTAAGTGCTTTTGATGGTTGAAAGTAGTTCTTGACATTTGTTTTCACACATGCTATTTTGCACTTGCTGCAGAGAAGGTGCAACTTCCAGGCTGAAGAATCAAGCACAAAGTCTGCAGCTCCTTTAATGAGGCTGTCTCAAAAATCAAGGGACTCTTCGTAGACACTGTTGTTAAAACATCTAGTTTTACAGCAGTAATAAACATTTTTTTCAGCTTCCAATAAACAAAACTACCTCCCATCTGTTCTCTTTTACTTATCCTTATCAGGGTTGTGGGAGGACTTGAAGCTTATCCCAGCTATCATAGGGCGAGAGGTGAGGTCACCCTGGACAGATCGCCAGTCTGTCCCCCCTTCACAACAACTCCGGTGAATTTTTCAAACTCATCTATCTGCTTCTTTGATTGTGCGTTCACTATCTGTCAGGCTTCACCTTTACTAACTGTAGTCACTTAACTGGATCTCTTAGCACTAATAAAAACCGTTGCTACATCGCTTCAGTTTATGTATATGAATACAGCAAAATGAACAAACTTGCAACAGAGTCATTCTCTTCTCCAAAAATGGCCACTTCTGGCCAAAAAGCTCAACTTGAGGATTAAAAACAAAGAGTCCAAAACGAATACGTAACATTAGGTTGGCTACATTCATCTTTTATACTGTCTGTAGTAGCACGCACCAGTGGTCCATGTATGACGTTTTCTATATAATGATTTTTAAGGCTTACTGACTACAAGTCCCACTTTATCTGTCTATTAGCATGGAAAAATAGCTTTTGTGGCACTACTTAAAGTTCCTAATTTCTTAAGATACTGACCCGAGTCAAATGTACCACCCGAATACATTTTTCTGAACTTTACAAACCCAAAGATGTTCTTATATATAATTAGTAATTTAGAAAACAATAACTGTAACTGCTTCCTCCAATGAACCAGGCTAATGTACCTTCTCTGTGGTCTCACATGTGTAAGAGCAGTCTTCTAATGATTAGCGTGTTCTTGAAATATGTCAGAATGTTTGATTCCAATAACAAATGTTTCATTCTGGTAGCTAATTACTCCAAAATAAAGACCAAGTGAAAAACATTGCTTCTTTTCTTTGCAAAACAGCAGGACAGAGCACAGGGTTAAATACAAAAGCTCTGGTGGACACTATAGGCACTGTAGCCATTTAGTCGAGTCTAGAAAATATAGCAAGATACTGTAAAATACTCCGCCAACACAGAACGCTGAGTTTAACACCTTTGTTTTTCTATTGTAACGTCAATAGAGACAAGGGATCACCAAATTTTATTAAAATCCTTCCAACAAAATTAAAAAAAGAAATCACCAAAGTGATTGTGGGATTAATCAGATTAAGTTAATCATATCTTGATGTTTGCATTTTGTGACAATCAATTGTTTGAGATAGAAATTAACTCCTCAAGTCCTTACTTTTATTATGCACAAAGTATTTGTCTTCGGGCCCATCTTTTGACTTCTTAAAGTAGAGCTTCCCACTTTCAATGTCCACTTTCAGGAACATCTTTGTGGAAATACCGAGAGATTCTTGTTTGACCTACCAGTGAAAGAAGAAATCGATCAAATAAACCACACACACGTATGACAAATGTTATGTAGACATAAGTACTAAAGAAAGCACCTCAAACGTAACGACTGGTATGAGAGATTTCCGTGGGCCCGCATCAAATCCAACATACTCAAAAACAGAACCTTTAACCTGAAAAAAGGAAGCAGAGTCGTCCTGTGTGTAATATCTCATGACATTTTCTATTATCATATAAAAAGCTGTTGTTAAAACATCTTACAGTACTTTACCTTATCTTCTATCGAGTAGAGCAGTTTTGTTAGTTGCTCAAGTCTACAGGACACAGGACCCGAATCACAGAAATTCTGAAAATAAGGAGGAAATACATGAAGAGAGCAGCTTTTTAAGCGCTGATAATACTGCAAAGGATCATGGGTGCCACCAACTTGTTTTGGTCCAATCCCTGGAGAGAGCTGTTGGTCCAGCGTTCTGTGAAACACCTCCAGAGTTGGCATGACGCGGGAAATTTCACTGCCTCGCAAAAAAGATCAGCGCGTGGTTCAATCAACCCAATCCATTCAAGTGTATGTAATATTACACATTCCATTAAATGGACACTATACCTGTTTAGGTTCTTGCAGACTGCCATTATAAGCTTCTTGAGGCCAGGCAGGTTAGGGTTACCGTTTTGAACTTGTTCAGCATCTAAGCAGACTGAAGTCCTGAAGTATTCTTGGATGGCCATTTCATGCTCTTCTGGTAAGCTGGAGACATAAGAGAAATGTAAGCTTCAGGAAAATTCATATTAGTAATTGTTTTGGAAAGTTTGGTGCCGAATGCCTAAATTCTACTTTTATAGTGCTGTAGGTACAAGAGACATTGCAACTGTCTGTAATTGTGACCATACATGGACAAGTCCATATGCTGCAGTTTCGCCAGGTATATGTCTGATAAGGATTTGGAGGCTTGCTCTGAAGTCTTGTAGTCACTGTCAAGTGGGATGTTTCTGGGTGGGAGCTGTGGAGGATGACTGTTTTGTTCTGCAGAATAGACATAAAGTGTGTTTAGGACAAACAATACTTTCTCTTCCATATCAAAACCAATATACAGACAAAGTGAAGTTTTTGACCTGGCTCCTCTTCTACCTCCTCCTCCCTCTGGACAGAGTACTGCAGGTGGGTGACTAAACCCATGTTGGGGCTATAATACGCCTCCACCAGCTCAGGTAGCATTGTGAAGAACCTAATAGGCACTCCTTCAGATGCCTGCAGAGCAGATAACAGCCAACATATTTTTTTTAATCACTCTTTGTAAACAAAAGGATGATTTTTGTTGTTGTTACCAAAGCAGGTGACATAACCTGTAAGTGTTACTTCCCATATGATGTCAGACCTCTCTACTGTCTGCGTCTGTGGTATTTTCCAGTTGCATTTTAAGACATTCCTTTGTAATTTTGCAATTTATTTCATTTAAAAGAACATATTATTACCCATAAATCATCAGCTATTTTAAGGAAGTAAACATATCCCTGCTCTGTCATAAGAATTAAATCGTACACTTAAACCATTAACAGAAATAGGTTTAAAAAACTATAGTCCCTTAAATAGGTTTGGCTTCTCTATATAGCTACATTGCATTTAGTGTCTTGTGCGGCTCGTAAAACTCAATTGTGCAAACTTGCAGTCATTGGGCGGTTACATTATTTTAAAGTACTTTCTTTAAACTAAACTGCACAGGTGTACATTATCGCCTCATCTAACAAGTTTTTAAAAGCACGAAATGATCGCATTTTACCTGGCACATTAGAAGGTAACAGTGCTGACTTATCGTTTCCTAGAAACCTGACACGTTGCTACTTCATACCAGTAAACTTATTTCATGACACAGCACATTTTGCTGTTACAGAATTTCTATCTAAGGCCACGGGTTTGCATAGCAATTATACATAGCTGTTATGTCAGTGCATAAATCGGTCATTTACAAGCTCTCTAGCATTTTCACCTATTTTTTTTTATAATTACAGTATTTTAAAAAAAAACATACAGATGATACTCTGTTCAATCTTTCTGTCAAGCCCAAGGCATTTATATCCTCTCTGTGGGGCCTGTTAGTTTTCTAATCTCTTCAGACTTACACTGCAAAGCTGACACTGAACAAATACCAAGATAATGAAGCATCTGCCGATCTGCTTCTGATCAGATTGAGTCTTGCTTTTATCATTGCCAACTAATTTACTGCAAAACTCTTAGTTCCTGCTTCAGTTTCTGTACTGGCTCATTGTAAGGTAGTTCGCCAATGGCAGATTAAATACAAATGAGAAGCAGGCATTTGTCATTTGCTGAACCATAAAGTCTCTTTTCTATAGATTTAAAAATCATAGTAAATAACAGAGGTATTTGTGGCTTTTTTAGGGTGACGTTGTTGTGCTCCCAGTCTGTAATCCTAAGTCTGTAAATTTTACATTTTAAGGCTTTTAAATTACTATCAGTGTAGCTTTGTGAGGCAATGATATTTAGTGTATAATAAGAGAATATGTTTTAAACTGCAGCCATGTAAGCAGCTCTGAGTTACTGAGCTAACAGACAGTTTTGTGCTGAAATCTGTATGCCTGCAAGCTAACATTCAACAGAGACTACCTGCTGATGTTTATTTAGCATGTCATCTTTATTCTTGTAGTTAATGCTCATACCTCCAAGCTGAAGCTATTAATACTTATTAATTCTGGGGGTATTCGATCATCAGATTGAAATTCAACTATAATGATGCATTATTGTGTTTATTAAATTTTATGCTAATCAATCTGATAACTGGAAACGTCACACACGCGCGCTCATACACCAAAAATACATGCGGCTTCAGATTCTAGTGATCTTGAAAGTCATTTACACATTCATCTCGCCTGTTGTTAGGATACTTCAGTCTGGGTCAAAGCGGTGGACAGTAAATGCATTTGTGGGCTTACATCTTTAATTAGGTTACAACTGAGCATTGCACTAGCAATGTGTGACTAATACTTTTGAAAATATCATTTCATCTTCACAGTAACTATAATAACTCATCTGGGTTCAGACCAGAACGATGGAAACTGTGAACCCACCTGGACAGAGAGCTTCTTGTCTTCATTTGGCAGGATTCTGTATGTGTACACACAGTTCTGATATCTGTGGATCAAATAAATGCAAATGTCTGTGGTTGGAACATGGAATGAATGTAAGGTGAAGAAACAAGCGAATTCAATGTGTTGAGTGAGCAGTTGGAATCATTTTTAAATGAAGGTTACCCAATGGAAGATGATGTGCAGAGGGGAAAGGGTGGTGCTTTGTGGCTGCACTGTATGCAAATAAAAGGGAACTAGTCTTGTGTTGCAGTGTGTATGTGCAAAAAAAAGAAAAAAAAAAGTAATGTGATATGGTGAGACAGTTTTAGGAACTTTAACTAATAACTGTGTTATAGCTACAGCGCACAAACGATCATGTTTGGAATTGTGTTTCTTGAACAAAATATACAGTTTGACAACCAGATCGTGTCGATTCGATACGATTCACAGCTGGTACTGCACGTCACGAAGGTTTAATGAAGTAGAAACATGAAGTATATGCAGGCATATTAGAATCAACCGCGAGCCATAATAAAAAGAAACAATAACTTACAAAACACAGAGGGCATAGGCTCCCTGTATCGATTCACTGTCCCGGATGAGGAAGCTTCCATCTCTTGCTGCTTTGGAAAGTAGATCCTCAGCTTTGGATCGAGTTATATTGCCATGGTACCAAGGTTGATAACTTGGCATCCTGTTTTTCACCCAAGAGCTCGATCTCAAGAGCTTTGCATGTGATCTCAAAAAAAAAAATGATCCCAGCAAAACAAAGTAGACTCAATTTTTCTTTCTGGCTATTTTCATCTTCTCATGGTGCATACTTTTTAGTTCTTTCTTTCACTTGTTCATCCACTGCCTCCGCAAATTGTAAAAGGAAGCTGCTACTAGCTCAGCCCTGAACTTCCTCATTTGTCAAGTTAAAGAGAGGAGGGCCCTAGTGCCTTCACTCGGCCTCTTCTTTAACATAGCCGCACAGCTGTAAAATGGAAATACACACTTTTGTTTGCACAGTAGAAATCTTTATCACCTTACACGAATGATTAACCAGCATACCTAACCTCTTTGGTTTACTTGTTCATGTGAACTTTCAGAAAATAATGAAGTTATACGTAAAAAATTGAGCTACAAGAAGTGAAAAGAGGAAGTAAGAAAGAAAACATGACCATGATGATTTTTAGTAGTTACAGGAAGGGAATTTACTGGATATATTTACTTTAAAACCCACACAGTAAAAAAAAAAGAAAAAAGAAGATAAGGACCTTGATTTGTTTTTCAAACATGATCATTTTGTTCTTTGATAAAAATAAACCAAGGTGCATCATATTCAGCCTGCATAGTGCTATTCTTTAAACCACAGATGAACCAAGGGAGCTCGGGGGTTTTCTACAATATATACATTCAGGAAATACAAGTTAAAATAGTTGCCATGTTCATGTGATGGACAGGAAGTCTTGCAGAAATAAGGGGAGGAAAATGAGCTGCTCACAAACCACAACATGTCACATGATATGAAAAGAGAACTACATGGTGACAAGTCACTGCTACCTTCTGTCCCCGCGCTTGAAATAGTTTTACCACTTTCACGGCGAACACGTCAACGCCACAGACGCGAAGGACGTGAAATCATACTTTTGCTTTCGGGAGACAGCAGCAGACATGTTGAGTTTATGCAGTTTTTATGTGACAAGCAAAAAAAAAGAAAGAGAGGGACTGGACATGTCACACAAATGGTGCATTTTTGCTGCAGTGAATTACACAATCATTCGCACGTTAAAGTCAGAGCATATTTTTAACATATTACATTTTATCAAACTGTAGATAGAACAATAGTTATTAGTTTGTCAAGTAACAGTGCAACAGAAATGCGTAGCATTATAGGAGAGTTAAGAAACTGAAAACCAAAAAATATTTTCACAATGGAGATTTGTCGAGCACATTTAACATATACAGTGACTCATGTCAGGAATTTATAAAAAGCTGTGGCTGTGGCTGTGTCCACGTCATTCCTAGCTGAGCTGGAGAAACACAATACAGGAATTTTTGCATCTATGAAAATGTGATAGCAGGGAAATATCCAACAGCAGTATAATAATGGGCACATTTACACAGTCCGCTCTCAATAAAATTGTCACTCCATCGTAGAGTAAATCTGGACTTAGTCCAAAGGGCTACAGCCTTAAAAGTATCTCTGTGAGGAACAGCGTTGCCTTGAGCTAAATATTAATACTGGCATGCTAACACACAGCTGGAATATGAAGCAAGCAAAGTTTCAAAGATTGCAGTTCCGCTAGTGACCACATGAGGCTCTAAAAGTGTCATTCCCCCATAAAGATCCGCCTTAAAATGTTACTTTACAGTAACTTTAAGTGAACATACTTACAGCATACTACTCCATGCTATTCCTTCTTAATAATAAGTCAGGGGGGACTTTCTTATAACTTCTACTTCTGGTTTTTGGAATCAGAGGTGATTTTCTTAGGTCAGTAAGTAGAGTAAATGACCAGAGTAAAAGTAGGTTGGAATAATCAGCAGCTCATGACTGACCCAGCAGCAACTGATTGAAAGTACCTGCATCAACAACTTTGGATTGCAAGGCAATCGCAGTTTGTTTTTCTGAGACAATTTCTCTCTGACACATCTTTTTTTTTTTTTTACAATACAAGGCTCAACTGAACTGCTTCTACTTTGGTTCTATTCTTATATAAATTGCGGTTGCCGAGCAGCTGCAGCACATTACAGTTAAATCACCATCCTGTAGAAACTACATCACTGTTTGTGGTGGGTTTTCTGAATTCTGAATGCAAGTAGGTAATGTGAATTTCTGTTTGTGCAGTCAAACACACGTGCCATTTTACAACAAACAGATTCAATTAAATTGCTGACTCGACCCCATTCACTTGCAAACTGTTAGCAAACTGATGTCATCTTAATGCACTAAAATCGCCTTGAAAATGACAACTGACTGCAACCATTTCAAAGGCAACAGCACTGCAATTTTATTTTACTCTGTAAGTCGTCATAATGCCAATGACTTTGTTCATTAGCTTGATTGTAGCATAATACTGGTGATAGGAGTCACTCATCTGAACTTCTGGACTGTGTTCTTTCTTGTTGTTCTTGCTTTTTTTTTTAGTCTGTTACTTAATTAACACCAATAAGCACCTTTCTGTGCTTGTGGATTTCACCCATACAATTTATGGATGCAGCAAACCAACTTAGCACTTCAACTTCACCTCACACAACAGCAGCCACAGTGCTAATGGCGAGTCTTCAAAATGTGGAGTCTAGAAGCTGGTGAGTGCCTTAGTGGGTATGTCCACCAGCATGCTACCATACAGTGCTAATATTTGAAAGGTATAATGCTTACCTTACCTGTAATGCTTACCCTGTTTAACTTCCCGGTTTGGTGCATTAGCATGCTAGCATTGCTAATTAGCATAAACATTTTCCAAATATTTGGCCTGAAACTAAAAATTCAAACAAATGAGAATTTAACTGGATGTTGGTACTTTAGAAGACGACACATGATCACACGAGTTTTTAAAATTCTCACATGGATCCATCACATTTCACTTATAGTGTTAAAGTATGTGCACGCACATTCGATTATCCACAAAGCAAGGATAACCTATGTCACCTTAGATGAAAAAAACAACAATATTATCAACTGTGACTGATGCATATTCATCACATTTGGCTCACAGTATAAAAAAAAACAATAGAAAATATACACTGAAAGTTGACTATGTATATACTGAATTGCTGTTTTGGATTTCCAACAAGCAGTAGGCGGAACAATTAGTACTCAAGTTTAACCCCCATTAAGTATTATATATGACAGCAGAAGCAATTAAAAACTTTGCATCATTAGTTTTTCGCTTCATCTCCGGAACAAGTGAGTTGTTATGTTGAGACAAACTGTTTCTAAAGACTATTATTAAAACCATCAGTTGTCAAAAATTATAACCAAACAAATTCAAATAGCTTAGCCTGGCGGATACCACACAGGAAATGGGATATTTTTTGTACAGAGAGTCCCACATTAGCAGGTATTGGGCACAGTTCTGACTGGTTTGAGAGTTGGTTTCTAACATGGACCCAAAAAACTTTTAATGGAAATGACAAAAAGCTTAAACAGAACATCAAAGGCGTCACTAACCAGTACAAATTTTCTGTCTTATGAAACCAGATCTACTACAGTAAAAAAAAACAGGGGATCTGCTGAGCTGAAAGCAAGCCAACAGTACATTTTGAAAACTCATCAAATGTCATATTTACTACTAATTGCAGTAATTTTGCTTTTAAACATTCTCCATTGCGTTAAATTGTTAAAGAAGAATGAGATTTACTCGAGTCTTGTGTGTGTGGGAGTTATTTTGAAGCATTATCTTCGTCAACTTTAATTCCAGTGGTCACCAAGATAAACAGTGTGTGCAGAATCAGAAGTTATAACTGATTTAAAAATGCTCTAAAAAGGTTTGCTGACTTTGCCCCAAATTTAGGTTTTAAAGATCTTTGTTCCTCTCCTGGAAGTTAAACTTCTACCACCGTCTTTGCTGCTGAATTCAGGATTCTTTGAGTGTCAAAGTGATGTCAGTTTAATTCTCTAAGGATCTGGTGGGAATGGTGTGGGGATGACACTAGAATTGGTTCTCAAACAGCCTTTGGAAACAGCATCAATCAAAGTATCATCAACCTGAAGCTTCTTGTGATGGAAAAGTTTTCACAGGTGTCTGAGTCTAGCTGCTTTTCCTCAGAACTCAGATTTGGCACTCACAGAGCTCTCATGTGTTCCCTTTAACTCTCCGCTGGTGGCCCCTGACATCCCGCCATTATCTTTACAAAACAATCGCCGCAGTGTGCCGCGGAATTTCTCCGCCCCAAACAGGTAGACCAGCGGGTCCATAGCACCATTCAGGCAGGTGAGGGAGGAGGTGAGGCGGTTGGCCAGGCTCAGGCCTCTGCGTGTCTGGCATGAGACGTCTGGGTGGCTGTAGCCCAGGATGAAAGTGGCCCTACTCATATGATAAGGCAGAAAACAGACCACGTAGATGAGCATAACCAGGCCAATGGTGCGCAGGGCCCTTAGCTTGAGCGCCGGCTCCAACCTGGAGCCGCGATGCAGGCTGTGAATGATGAAGAGGTAACAGGAAAGAGTGGCGAGGAAAGGCGGCATGAAGGCGACAGCCAGCGAGATCAGAGCGTTGCGTGAGGCCTTCTCCCTGTATAGCTGCAAACACACCGTCATGTTGTCCACCTGTGCAGTCTGATGGGTGACAAGCAGCGGTGCCATGGAGACAGTAACTAGGACCCAAAGAGAGAAGCTGATGATCTGAGCATAGCGAGCGCGACGAATCTTCAGTGACCTCACAGCGTGAACCACAGCCAAGTATCGATCCCCTGCTACACAGGCCAGGAAGTACAGGCTGGCATACATGTTGACATAAAACAAAAAACCCACCACCCGGCAGGGCACCTCGCCTAGGGGCCAGTGGCCTCCTGTAAAGTGGTAGGTGGCCCTGAGCGGGAGGATGATGACGTACGATAAGTCTGCCACAGCCAGATGAATCAGGAAGACATTAGCTGGAGAAGAAACGCCACGCTGGTGAGAAAAAATCCAGAGAGCCAAACTGTTACCGCTCAGCGCCAGAACAAAAACCACGAGGTAGAACCATCCAAACAGCTGGTTCTCGATCGTGTTCGCCAACACTACACAGCTCTCTGATGACTGATTGGATGGCAGATGCATTGTAGCAGACTCCATTTTGGTGACTGTGGAGACAGAAAATATTATAATTACCATTACCTTTAAACCATTTCTGTAGTATAAGCAGAAGTGCATATATTCATGACAGTTACGACGGGTCTAATTTTGCGCTGCAGGCTGCAGGGGTGGTCAGATTTCTGACCTGAATTTGAGTACTTTTGT